CCTCTGAAGGCCAAGTGAAGAAGATGATTGTAGGAACTGGCTTGCTTTCTGAACTTCTGTAATTAGAAAAGCCAAAACACTACATTAATTAAAAATTCTTCAAACCCTCATGATTCTGGAAAGCTGGAAATTCCCTTAGCTGAAGATCTTGGTTCAATGACGCCAACAGAACCACATCATCTGCAAATAACAGATGTCAGATATGACTGATGTCAATATGATGAATAGTTGATGCAGATGCTCTAATCATCAAAGTGTTAAGTGCTTTAAACAGGTTTTCTTTTTTTTTTTAGACAACGTACTGCTTGAAAGACAAAATATCTGTATTTTGGTTCAAACTGTTGGACAGGGACACATGCCCTGTGTATATTGAGAGAGAAAAGCCTAGAGCAGGGGTTCTCAAAAGTTTTGGGTCTGGGGACCCCTTACAAGGGTAAAACATTTCCAGGGACCCCCTTATAAACCCCCACGCTGTTTTAAAAATAGTTTACTGTCATTTTACCTCACTAAGGCCATGACAATATTATCTTTAGTTTGGTTTAGTATGTTTGTTCTACTACTGTATTGTTCTCCATGCGCATTTTTTAAATAAAAATCAAATGAACAATTTATTGAAAATTTTTGAGGACCCTCAAGGTATGACTCGTGGACCCCTGGGGGTCCTGGGACCCCAGTTTCAGAACCTCTGGCCTAGAGAATCTAGTGACGTAAACACGGAAGCCTTTTCCGGGGAGACATGGCTTCCATCCCGTACTCGAGTCCTTATCTGTCTTGACATTCATGTCTTCATTTTTGTCATTTGTATCTGAGAAAACAACATGAAAACTCAGAACTAAAGGTGATCATTTATTTTGGTTGCACCATTTCTTTTATACCTTTAGTTCAATTTACATTGTATTCAGAAACTGTTCCAAACTATTACTTGAGCAATATAATGTAGTATCATCAGCAAATAAAGTAAATGTTAATAACTTAGATACATTGCAAAGATCCTTTATGTAAAGTAAAAAATGTTTAGGACCCAGCTTTGGATTCTTCTTCATTGAGTATTCATTGCTTATGAAACTAGTTCCCGGCAGTTTTATGATCTCACACTTTAGTGAGTCTGAATTAGTCTGATTTCAAAAGAGTGAATAAAGTATTTATCAGCAAAGCTGATGTGGTGMCCCACCAGGTAAACAGTGTAGCAGAGTTTTTCCCCTCGTCGCTACAGTTATAAACCCATAAAGTCCATCAGCTTCTGCTGAGTCATGGTCTTCAGCTGTCCAGCTGAAAATTTGAGTAATGCTGTCCATACAAGAAACATTTATTATTTTTATTCTCTTGTTTTTGCAGCTCTGTTGAAGGTGTAGACAGAAGAAGAAGAGGAAAAAGAAGAAGRAATCCATTGAACAGCTCAATGTTACAAGAACAGGACCTGGAAACAGACGAGGAGGACATGGACTCCTGCAACGACACAGCATTTGTTCCAAACTTTGAACATCAGACACCTGAAAAAACAAGAAGAAGGAAGTACAAGAAGAGGACAGGGAAGACAGAAATATGTAGAGTGTCTTGTAAAATATGTGGAGCCTGGTACTTAAAGCTGGGATCTTTGATCAGACATGTTTGGACTCACATGGACGAGAAGCAGGATGTTTGTGGCATCTGTGGAGAGAAATCTGAATCTGARGAAAAGTTAAAGGAACATCTAAAAAAACACCAAGAGATTCACAGATGTTCTGACTGTGGGAAGACTTTTGTCTCTGAAATTAGTCTGAAGGGACACATGATGAAACATACAGGAACCAGTCGATTTAAATGTAACATTTGTAACAAAACTTTCATTACAAAGAATTCTCTAAAAGTTCACCGATGGGTTCATGAGGAACATAAACCTCATAAATGTGATGTTTGTATGAAAACGTTTGGTTTGGAGTCACAACTTAAAGCTCACATGAAGATCCACACCAAGGAGAGAAAATACAACTGCAACATCTGTGAGAGATCTTTTGATAGTCGCAGCACGATGACCGTACACCGAGCCGTCCACTTTGAGGAACGGCGCCTGGTCTGTAAAGTCTGTGGGAAACGGTTTAAATTTCACAGCTGTCTGAGGACTCACATGAACACCCACACAGTCAGAGAYCGACYTTTCCTCTGCCACATCTGCTCAAAGACATTCCGGTCAGCCTCAGAGTTATCATTGCACCTGAAGACCCACAGTGGAGAGAGACCGTTTGTCTGCGATGTGTGCGGTAAAAGATTTTTGTTCAGTGGACACTTAAAAGCACACATGACGATCCACAGCAATGAGACACCGTACAAATGCTCTGAGTGTGGACGCCTCTTCAAACTCAAGAACAGGCTAAAAGAACACATGTTCCTCCACTCAGGAGTCAAAAACTTTGTCTGTAGGGTCTGTGGGCAAGCCTGCTCTCGACGCGAACACCTGCAGGTCCACATGAGGACCCACAGCGGAGAGAAACCCTACAAGTGCACCCTCTGTGACAAAGCCTTCACCCAGAGCCACTGTCTGAAGACACACATGAAGAGCCACCAGACTGAAGAAAACCCAGTTCTTGATACTCAGACCAAAGAAAACCCAGTCCCTGATACCAAGATTGAAGAAAACCCAGTCCCTGATACCAAGATTGAAGAAAACCCAGTCCCTGATACCAAGATTGAAGAAAACCCAGTCCCTGATACCAAGATTGAAGAAAACCCAGTCCCAGGTCCATCTGAGTCCTTCATTACTCTGTATGTTGAACCTCCACAATGGACTCCTTTYGATGAGGAGCAACAACAACAACTGTTCGCTGAGCTCGTCTCAGACGGCTGAGCTCCTCACACTGAGTCTGTTACAAACTTCTACTTCTTTATTCGTCAACGACCGATACTTACAGAAACAGAGAGCGGACGTTTGCTGCATATAATATTTCCGTTGTTTTTCTTACGTCGTTATCACGAAATATCGAATGGTTTCTCAAGATAACAAGTTAACATTCCAATGGTTTTCTCGATAATGATTGATTTTCTTCTAGTGCATCCCCTCAGCTGGTTATCCRCATATGAAGTTTAACATTTATTCACCAATAAAGTTAATGATATCAGAAGATCACTTGAGTGTTAATGCCYGTTGAGCTACAGTCAGACCAGCCACCTCCCTTAAATGTTGAAGACTGATATGAAAGTTATTTGTGCAAGAAAAACAAATTTCASCCTGTGTTATGAAACAAAGAACTAGGTTGCCTTCAAGCCCAGATCACCCTTGCAAAAGAGATCTGCGATCTCAATGGGATTTGCCTGGATAAAAAAACGGTATTTAACAAGGCAAATAGCATATTTGAACCACTGCCTTAAATTTGAAGTCAATTCTCTCCAAATTGAGAACCAAACTGCAGTTGTTGCGACACGTGAATATTGCCTTTTTGTTCAAAATGACCGACTTTGTATGTTTTACAATGTGGTGTCAGGAGACTTTTGTAGGTCCTGAATCGATGCACAAGTGCACCAAATTTTATGGGTGTATGTGATAGTAGTCAGGGGAGCTACAATCAAGGTGACACTAAAGAGCCAACCAGCACATCTGGCTCTTTGTGCCTGCCTATATTTACACAAGTTGTAAATGTGTACCAAGTTTCAAGAACTCAGCTCTCTACAGTATTCATTTCAAGAGTTCAAGCCTCTTTATTATCCCCACAGGGCAATTTAATGCACAGCCAGTAGACATAAGAAAAACATTCATACACAAACACACAAAAAYGGAATAGCAAAATGGCAACAGTTAAAATGGCAGTTGTGCACTGTAGCGGACACGTGCAATGTCACCAAGGTGCCCTGGCCCTTTGGTGGCTTCTAGTGATGAATATTTTCTTTATTTTTAAAAGGGTCTAAACTGTTCATTTAAAAACAAAACAAATTCAGTATACAAAAAATACAAATGAAAAATGAAAGGCAGCAGAAGGAAGAAAAAATATTGTAATATCTGTGCCTTTTTCCATCAAAAGAAATTCAAACAATGATAAACTGAAAAAAATTAATAAAAAATTAAATCTTTCTCAGACATTTAAGGATACATGCATGTCATTTCGTATTTCTTCAACAGACTGGATTTTACCATTCTCCTAAACGTATACAT